GGCCTCCTTCGAATGCTCCCTGAATGCTTCTTCGAATGGACCTTTTGGAATTCCAATCGAAGGACACTGTTACCATGCCAATCGAAGTACTTGTCCAAAATGCCAATCAAAGTACTTGTCCATAATGCCAATCGAAAGGCTCCTTCAGAATGTCAATCGAAAGGCTCCTTCAGAACACCAATCGAAGGGTCTTTCAGAATGCCAATCGAAATGTTCTTTCAGAATGTCAATCGAAATGTCTTTCATAATGCCAATCGAAATGTACTTTTATAATGCCAATCGAAATGTCTTTCAGAATGCCAATCGAAATGTACTTTCAGAATGCCAATCGAAAGATACTTAAAGCACCACTCAAAAATTTTCTTTTTTCTTAGGCAAGGGTTTCTGGTCAACCATGTAGGGGGAAGACTTTGGAAAACATGAGAGGGCAAATTTTGGGGTACAACAAAACCCCTTTCCAACATTTTGAAGAAGTCTCTCAAGAAGTAGCAGTGACCAAGGCGGTATCCTCGATTCCTAAGATCACAAGACCTCCGCTTCGGATGTCATCTCTAAAGGATGAAAAGGCAGTAGTGGAAGAGGGTGGATGCACCATCTGGGGGAAGCTTCCAGACATTCCGTACAAATCAGACAAGTTTGGTTTAGGGTTTACTTCAAATGCTCAGAAGACTGTGCGCCGTGCCCGTGCTGGGGGGCCACCTGTGAAGATTAGCAACCAAGGGGTCAATGTAGTAGAAGACAATGAAGAATATGGAAGCTTGGAAGATTGGATATTTCCTACTGTCAGCGGGGGACTTCACAACTGGGAAGCCAGAGACTTTGTCCCAATAACTTTCATCTCTCAGTAATTTATCTTTTACATTTCTCTTGGACTTGTAATATTCACGAACAATCCGCACTTTAAATACCTTGTGTCTTACCCGAGGCACAATGGTCCATTTGTAAGGGTTTTTATTTCATCTTCATATGACATTCAATGAATCATGGACGCTTTTTCACATATAAACTTTTTGTGCTCATTGTCTTTCTTTTACATTTTATTATTTAAAGATGGCTATACCCTTACACACACCCACACCCACAAATGCAGGTACCCCTCCATTCCGGATCCCATGGGTAACGATACTGCTATAGCCTTCAGTGACTCTGAAGATCTGATCTACCAAGTCGAATACGAAGGTGAGGAAGATTGTGAGGTGCCAGGGGAATTGGCCAGACTACTACAATAAGAGGAAAGAGCTATTCAGCCTCATGAGGAGCTGTTGGATACAATCAATTTGGGTACCGAGGAAGATAAAAAGGAAATCAAAGTGAGTGCCAATTTAGAGCTGAGTGTCAAGGAGCGCCTAATTTAGCCGTTGCATGATTATGTTGAGATCTTTGCCTGGTCATACGAAGACATGCTGGGACTCGATACAGACATTGTGGTACACCATCTACCCACAAGAGAAGATTGTCCACTGGTGAAGCAAAAAGTCCGCCGCATGAGACCTGACATGTCAGAGAAGATCGAAGCAGAAGTTATGAAACTGTTCAATGCTAGATTTCTGGCTGTTACTTCTTATCCTCAATGGGTGGCCAACATTGTTCCCGTGCCTAAAAAGGACGGCAAAGTAAGAATGTGCATGGATTATAGAGATTTAAATAGGGCCAGACCTAAAGATGATTTTCCACTTCCACACATCGACATCCTGGTTGACAATACAACCCAGCACAAAGTATTTTCTTTCATGGACGGATTCTCAGGCTATAACCAGATCAAAATGGCGCCTGAGGACATGGAGAAAATTACATTTGTCACATAGTGGGGTACGTTCTGCTACAAAGTGATGCCATTCAAACTGAAGAATGCCGGGGCAACCTATCAACGCCCCATGGTAGCTTTGTTTCATGATATGATACATCATGAGATAGAGGTCTACATAGATGACATGATAGCCCGATCATAAATTGAAGAAGAACACCTTGATCACTTGCAAAAGCTGTTTGTGAGATTGAAGGAGTACAAAATAAGGTTAAACCCGAACAAGTGCACATTTAGAGTCCGGTCCGGTAAACTCTTAGGTTTCATTATCAGCAACAAAGGCATCGAGGTTGATCCTGCCAAGGTTAAAGCAATACAAGAAATGCCTGCTCCTCGCACTGAGAAGGAAGTCAGAGGATTCTTGGGACGCCTGAACTATATTTCCAGATTCATTTCTCACCTAACATCTACTTGTGAACTAATCTTCAAACTGTTGAAGAAAGATCAAGTAGTCAGATGGAATGATGAGTGTCAGATTGCTTTTGACAAAATCAAAGAGTATTTACAAGAGCCTCATGTCTTGATGCCACCAGTCGAGGGAAGACCACTAATCATGTATCTGACCGTTTTAGAGAACTCAATGGGGTGTTATTGGGGCAGCATGACGAGTCTGGCCGAAAAGAGCACGCTATTTACTACCTGAGCAAAACGTTTACCGACTGTGAAACAAGATATTCACTGCTCGAGAAAACTTGTTGCGCTCTGGTATGGGTTGCTCTCCAGCTAAGACAATATATGTTGACTCATACCACTTTGCTGATATCTAAGATGGATCCGATAAAGTACATCTTTGAGAAGCCTGCTCTGTTTGGGAGGATAGCTAGGTGGCAGATGATCCTAACAGAATATGACATACAGTACACTACCCAAAAAGCTATAAAGGGCAATGTGCTAGCTGATCATCTGGCCCATTAAGATGTAGAGGATTATCAGTCCATGAAGTTTGAATTCCCAGATGAAGACATCATGACATTAGACAATTGTGAAAAAATCAGGCCATATGAAGGACCTGGACAAGGATCCCGATGGACCCTGTTCTTTGATGGGGCATCCAATGCACTTGGTAATGGTATCAGTGATGTACTCATATCTCCAGAAGGGTGCCATACTCCCTTTACTGCCAGACTTTGCTTCAACTGTACGAATAACATGGCGGAATACGAAGCATGCATCTTTGGTCTCAAGGCTGCCATAGATTTGGGAATCAAATCCTTAGTTGTATTTGGAGATTCAACTTTGGTCATCAGTCAGATCAAAGGAGAATGGGACACTAAGCATACAAACCTTATCCCTTACAAAGAACATGTTTTGACATTGCTACCACATTTCGAGCAGATTACCTTCGAGCACTTACTGTGAGAAGAAAATAAGCTAGCAGATGCTCTAGCCACAATGTCATCTATGTTTAATTTTAATTGGGATAACGAAGCTCCCCAGATCACCATTGAATGAATGGACGAACCAGTACACTGTCACGAGATTAATACTGAAGAAGTAGTGGACCAGCCTTGGTTTCATGAAGTCAAAAGGTATCTCGAGGCTCAATAATATCCAGAAGGAGCTTCAATCAATGATAAAAAGTTCCTAAGGAGTTTCTCTGCTAAGTTCTTCCTAAGTAATGGCATCCTGTACAAACGTAATCATGATTCTATTCTGCTCCTTTGTGTGGATAAGATTGAAGCTGAAAAGATCATGGCTGAATTGCATGAAGGTACCTTTGGCACTCACTCTAGTGGGCATACGATGGCGAAGAAAATCCTACAGGCAGGCTATTATTGGTCTACCATGGAAGAAGACTGCTATCAACACTCACGGGCCTGTCATAAGTGTCAAATCTATGCAGACAAGGCGCACGTGCCTCAGGTTCCTCTAAATGTCTTAACAGCTCCTTGGCCCTTCGCTATGTGGGGAATCGATATGATTGGGGAGATCAAGCCGACAGCCTCTAATGGACACCGTTTCATTCTAGTGGCCATTGACTATTCACTACAAGTAAATTAGTGTTTAACGACACAAAAATTGCGACAGTTATGTGATAACTGTCGTAATTGACATATAGAGACAGTTTTTACGACGGTTGACACCAACCGTCCCTAATATTTATTTTGCGACGGTATATTTAACCATCATAATATTATTATTACGACGGTAAAACAACCGTCGGCCCCCATTTAACACTTTTAACATTGATTTTTCACCAACAACTAGTCACGACGGTAAAATTAACCGTCCTAAAAGGCATATCACGACGGTAAAACACCCGTCGCAGTAAAAAAGTTAAAAATACCAAAAAAATACCAAAAAAAGTGAAGGGCCTTAGGAAAAGGTAGAACATCTCGGTCCACTAGAAGCAAGATCCATCTCCAACCTTTCTATTCCCAATCAACATTATCTCCTCATTTATACTTATGATAAGAGAATAACAGAAAAAATAAGATTTGGGATTTCATATGTCGTGTATGCCTTGGTTGCCAGAGGCACGGTGGTTCTGGCGGAGTTCAGTGCCGTCACCGGCAACACAGGCGCCGTCGCTCGTCGGTTACTCGAGAAGCTTCCTACCGAATCGGATTCCAGACTTTGCTTCTCTCAAGATAGATATATCTTCCACATACTCCGATCCGATGGCCTCGCGTACCTTTGTATGGCCAACGACACCTTCGGAAGTGAGTAGCTCGCCGTTCTTTTGTTTTCTTGATTTATTGTTTTTGACCTAATTGCTTTAATATCCAATTCTAATGTTTGTGCTGAAAAAATGATTATGGAAGGATCAGTATTCTTTCTAGAATGAAGATAGGGTTTACTTGGAGTGGTTTTGGTTAGTTTCTTTTGTTTAAACTTATAATGATTATATGATTGTTATATATTGAAAATGAACTGTGTTGGTGTGGTGAAATTGAAAAAAAAAGGTGTGATTGAAGTCTGCATCATTGTTTATGTGTTGTTAGTTAGTTCATCTATTAAGAGATTCAATTGTGTTGCGGAGAGGTGTTCTTCAGAGGTTTTTCTGGCTTCCGTTGAGTGTTTGGAACTGATCAGGCTTGATACTGCAAATTATGCAACCGCGTTAGAAGCAGAATCAAACAGAGGCTTCATTCAATTGGCATCTGAGGAACATGGTGTGGCACCGTGTCTGATGCTGTCATTGCTTTTGAATGACACTTTTCCGTAAGGTAAAAGGGAGAAGAACAAACCAGTGATGCTAACTGGATTAATGGACAATCATTGGAAGGCTTGCACTGATTGGGTTAACCCTAATGGAAAACCTAATCTCCAATTTTTCTCCACTCATTTTGGTTCCTCCAAAGTTCAGGTTGATAAATTGTTACTTCTAAGTTAATTTCCTTAAAATCAATATTTAACATTGGTTGTTGGATATAATTTGTTGGTGATTATTGGTGATTGTAATTTGTAGTTACACTCAAACTTTGTAAGATTGAGATTCCTTTAACTCGTTTGAAAATTTGAAATGTTGATGCTATCAACTGATTGAAATTTTGGTCATGGAAAGGTTGCAGACTGTGATACCAGAGATTTTACTGATCAAAAAAGGGAGGACATGTTGGTTTCCGATTTCGTTCGACTTTGCTTTAAATATGAAGGTTCTGCAGTTCAGTGCAGTAATCAAATTGGTGTAAGTAATGGTGACTCTGCATCTGTACCGTATTTGAAGGATTGGCATTTTGTGAAGGTATCATTTTTGGCTTTTCATCACTTTATCATTCATTGTTGTACATTTGTAGTGCCTTTTCATAATTTACTTTGAAGTCTGCCCCTGTCAACCTAGATAATCCTCTTGTTGCATTAGAGTTATCATATGTTATGTTATACTACAGATGATGATTTACTAAGTAATTTCTTTTTCTAACTATTGCAGGAGTATCCTGATTACGTACCATACATCACTCCGATGTTCTTTTGTGATGATTGGCTCAACTTGTATCTCGATAACTTTAGAATGAATACTTATTCCGACAGAGACCAGCAAAATAAGGAAATATGTTGCTCTGACTATCGTTTTATTTACATGGGAGTAAAAGGTGTGATTTTAGTTGGGAAGAAATCTTGAAATGACCATGAATCTCAGATGATTCTGCACTTTTCTATGCGAAGAGATGAGCAATCCAACAGTAACTTCTTACTTTCACTTCTTCTGGCAGGATCTTGGACTCCTCTACATGTTTGAGGTGAAAGAAGGAGAAGATGAGCGCTTCTAGGTTCATCAAGTGTGTTACTGTTGGGGATGGAGCTGTGGGTAAAACTTGTTTGCTAATTTCCTACACTAGCAATACCTTCCCCACTGATTATGTGCCAACTGTCTTCGACAACTTCAGTGCAAATGTGGTTGTGAATGGAAGCACTGTTAATCTGGGTTTGTGGGATACTGCAGGACAAGAGGATTATAACAGATTAAGACCTTTGAGTTATCGTGGTGCCGATGTTTTCATTTTGGCTTTCTCCCTCATTAGCAAAGCCAGTTATGAAAATGTTTCCAAAAAGTGGATTCCAGAGTTGAAGCATTATGCACCTGGTGTTCCCATTATTCGGGATGACAAGCAGTTCTTTGTTGACCATCCTAATTTAGAACTATTTTTGACACGGGCAATGGAGAAACTTGACATTCAGAGATATACCAGGGAAGCTGGTTTGAGAAATTTGGTGAGGAACTTGGCCGGACAAAATTAGTTTTGAATTCATTGAATCAATGATTAATTACTAAAAAAAAATCTCATTTATCATTTTGAGGTTGTTCAGGTTTTAGTGTAAGTTTATCATTTAATATTTTGTTTAATGATTGAGAAATTTATATTGTAATAAATCAAATTATGTTTGTAATCTTTGTGAACATGTCATGAGACTGTGTAACCTTAAGAAAGATGCAAAGACGAACATCCATGCTATTATTGACAAGTTAGCAGAGAGAGGTCTTCGTTCTCTTGCTGTTTCTAGACAAGTATTTTATATCTGGTATTCATGTTTGAAGTTTGTCTTGAAAATATTTCTTTTCACTGATCCTCCAGTTTTCTGTGTTATCGTGTAGGAGGTTCTTGAGAAAACTAAAGAAAACTAATGATTTTCAATTTGTGAAGTTGTTCTTCTTCTTCATCAACTATGGAAAAGGTATTGACTTTCATGAGATTTTCATTAGAATGTGAATGTTGGGTTAACTGAAGAGTTTGTTTGAAGTTTATTAAAGTGGAGCTATGGTTTATGTTGAGTTCAATCAGTAGTGAGTTTATGAGATAGTTAGGGATTAATTATGTTAGTTAACAATTGAGTTTAAGATTTGGTTAGTAGGTTAGAGATTTAGGATAAATTCTGTTAGTAATTTTGTCAGTGTAAGGGGTTTGTGGATGAGGTTTGGAAATTGAGAGTTAGAGCTGAAGTCAAGGTGAGGTTAAATGTTGTATTGAGTATTGTTCCACATGACCATGGCATGCTACCTTGAATTTATTTCCCTCTTGAGTTGAACTATCTTTTTCTAATGATGAATTGTGTTATGCCTTGTATGTCAAGTGGATGTATATTTTGTTCAATTTGGTCTATGTAGTATGAACTGCATTGCATGCTAAAACTCATATAGGGCTTTTTCTTCTTCTGATTGTTCTTATTTGGTGTTTAAACTGAACGTGACTTGGTATTGATGATTGTAAGCTTGTGATGCATTACCTTGGAAATCCTGTTGTGCATGATATGTATATGTTGCCTAATTTGTATCACCCTGCATACTTCACGTCTGAATGCTTGGTTGAATGTATATAATGTAAGATGAATGCTTGACTGCTAAGCTTGGATATGAATTGAATAGGATTACATTTGTCTTGAACTAACTTGGACATTTGTGTTATTACATGATGCTTTTAAATGACCAATTCTTTGAATAATTGCATTGAGTTATATATCTTGCATAGAATGACCGTGAAGCTGTCTGTCGTTAATCACAAGTCATAACAGTTGGGAGGGTCAAACTTTTGCATTCTTCGGGATGACAAGCAGTTCTTTGTTGACCATCCTGGTGCTGTGCCCATTACCACTGCTCAGGGAGAAGAGCTTAGGAAGCTGATCAATGCACCTGCTTATATTGAATGCAGTTCTAAATCACAGCAGAATGTGAAAGCAGTCTTTGATGCAGCCATAAGAGTTGTCCTTCAACCACCAAAGCAAAAGAAAAAGAAGAGTAAAGCACAAAAGGCATGTTCGATATTGTGATTTGCTAGGTCGGTCTAAAAATTTGACAACCATTTCTCCAATCTGTAATTCTCTCCTCTTCTTCGTTTTCTTCATTCCTACGCCATTGAAGAAGTTGAAGTCTATGTGGGTGTTCGTTCGTCTAACATACTCTAGATCTCCTTGAAGCATTAAGGTGGTTGATGCTTTGTTTTTCTTGGAATTATTGTGAATTCTAATTGTCAAATTTGCATTTCATGGTTCCCACCTTTTTCTTAACTTAAGTTTTATGTATTAATAGACTGGAATTATCCCAGTTAGGATGATGACTACCTTGTTTGCTTGAAGATATATATAATATCTAAATTACATATATATAATATCTAAAGGTGTGATTTTAGTTGGGAAGAAATCTTGAAATGACCATGAATCTCAGATGATTCTGCACTTTTCTATGCGAAGAGATGAGCAATCCAACAGTAACTTCTTACTTTAACTTCTTACCATAATCAGTTTTGATGAAGTATGCGTGATGTTGATTATCGTTGTTGAGAAGCCGATTCGGACTTGTTGATGAAAATGATTTTGTGTAGAGAAGCAGTTAGAGAGTGAGTTTTGGAGAGATGAAGTTCTGAGAAGAGTTTCGGATGTGTGCAGAACGAATTGTTGAAGTTTTAGAAGTGAAATCGTTGAAGACTCATAGAAGATTTTTTGTAATTCTCTCAAGTTGTAGCAAACCAATGTAAATATTAAAATGAAATTTGGCCTTTGATGATATTTGAATTTTTCTTGTTTATTGGTAAAATTTGCACTTCTTTTTACCTTTGATCACATTTTTTTGATATTATTGATGATTATTTGATATTAAATGTTTTTATTGTAATTAACTTTATTATGTTGAAAAGTGATAGAAAATAAAATAAAAATACTATAAATAAAAAAATATTAAAGTAAATAATAATTTAAATATAATAGTAAAATATTATAGTAAAATAATATTATATTTAAAATTATTTTACTAAATAATAATTTAAATAAAAATATTATTTGAAATTTATAAATCAGATTACGACGGTTAAAACCGCCGCAATTTCTAACCTACGGCGGTAGAATAACCGTCGCAAACAACAACAAAAACAAAAAATAAAGTCAAATTCACGACGGTATATAACCGTCGCTATCTGTTGTGCGTGACAGTTTTTACAACCGTCGCGAAATAGGCTGGGGACGCACGATTCTGCGACGGTACTTCTACCGTCGTAGATTGTAAATTGCGACGGTTTTAACCGTCGTAATCAGCCAAAATAACCGTCCCAATCTATCATTTTTCTTGTAGTGATTTCACCAAGTGGGTCAAAGCAGCTTCCTTCGCATCCGTTACTAAGAATGTTGTTGCCCGCTTCATCAAAAAGAATCTTATTTGCCGGTATGGTATCCCAAAAAGGATCATCACTGATAACGGTACGAACCTTAACAATACTATGATCACCGCCTTGTGCGAGCAGTTCAAGATTCAACATCACAATTCATCCCCCTATCGGCCAAAGATGAATGGTGCAGTCAAAGCTGCTAATAAAAACATTAAAAAGATCATACAAAAAATGACAGTCACCTACAAGGACTGACATGAGATGCTACCGTTTGCTCTCCATGGATACCGTACCACGGCTCGCACATCAACTCGGGAAACACCCTATTCTTTGGTTTATGGCATGGAGGTTGTCTTGCCTATTGAGGTTCAGATCCCCTCTTTGAGAATCATGAAAGATGCAGGTTTGAGTGAGGACGATTGGATCCAGACCCGGCTTGATCAACTGAACTTAATTGATGAGAAGAGGCTTACTGCTGTTTGCCATTGTCAGATGTATCAAAAACGGATGATCAAGGCCTTCAACAAGAAAGTCAGACGCCAAGTATATCAAGTTGGAGATCTAGTGATCAAGCGCATCATCTTGCCACAAAGTGATCCCAGGGGCAAATGGACTTCTACATATGAAGGACCATTTGTAATCAAGAACATCTTTTCCGGTGGGGCAATGATCTTAACCACCATGGACGGTGACGACCTGCCACACCCTGCGAACGCAGACATAGTCAAAAGATACTACGCATAAGAGACCCGCTAGGTTGACACACCTAGGCAAACACAAGGGCATCCCGACGAACCAAAAGGTTCGGGAAAAAATTAGGAATAAAATAAAGAAAAATTTGTAAACCTGGCAAGTTGAAAACCCGAAAGGGAAACTTGGGCAAAAAAGGGTTTCCCGGTGGATTGAAAACCCGAAAGGGCAGTCTAGGCAAAAGTTAGGGAATTAAAGCGTATGACTATGTCTCGTCGGATCACTTTGAGGATAAATTCAACCTCTTCACCAACAAACTCGGAGTTCTGATCGATTCAATCATCTTCGGACGAAGCAACGGATAGACAAGATATTCAGAGATACGAAGGCTATAGCAGAATGGGAACCCCATGGGATTATCACATATGGCTATCTTTGTATAAATTTTTCTTATTTTTATGACACTATCCTCTTACTAGGATGTCTGTCTCTTTTGTATAAAATACTTATTCAAAGTAAATACAAAGATATCTCTTTCAAAGTACAGAAAACTATTTGCCTTTTTCTTTACACTTGTGTTTTTATTTGCAAAAATGTCCAATGATTCATTAATGAACATATGCATTTGAACATAATTACTGTTTACAAATAAGCAAAATGAAAAAAGAACAATTACTGACAGGTTAAAAGAATAGGAAAACATCTTTAGGCTATTCCATGAGCAATCCCTATAGTACATCATTAAGACCCCCAGTGGAGCTGAAGCTTCAAACTATTAATCCTCGGTGGAAACCATCCAGTTTCTCCAAGTTCCACAGCAAGTTGTCTTGAAGTCTGAAAATCAATTGGATAATGGTTAACTTCTATTTCTCCCTAACCTAGAATGATTCCCCAGTAGAGTGGCAGACGATCGAAACTCCTGAACTTTTTCCAAACAAGAATAAGCTTTTTTCCCACAGAGTTTTCTTTGTTCCCCAACAGAACGAGGATTCCCATTGTTTAATCCCCAGTAGAAGTCATCAAAATTCTCTGGATTCCCCAAAGCGGATTACTCAAGCAGTATACAACATTGCTCTCACAATAGGATTTTTGTCAATTTACTCCAACTTCAAGACATGAAGAATCCACATATCCTCAGCAACAGTCAAGGATTTATTTTCCTCAGCAATACAGCGAATTAGCTTACATGCGCATACATTACATCCACATATCATAAACATTGATAAGACGCATATATTGCATCATACATTTCATGCATCATAACTTTGTGTTTCAGCTAACATTTTACCCTTTTCAGGATAAGATTAACAAGCTACCATTAACAATATGCAATCATGATACAGTACATATACGCTCTAGACATGGAAGCCATTTTGTTACTCACTCAGATTCAACCTTCAGATACAGTTCAGATACGCTCCAGACATGGATGCTATTCTTTTACTCATTCAGATTTAAAGCTCAGATACAGTTCAGATACGCTCCAGACACGGATGCCATCCTGATACTCATTCAGTTTTGAAATTCAGATACAGTTCAGATACGCTCTAGACACGGATGCCATCCTGATACTCATTCAGTTTTCAAATTCAGATACAGTTCATATACGCTCTAGACACGGATGTCATTCTGACACTTATTCAGATTCAAGTTCAGATACGCTCCAGACACGGATGCCATTCTGAAACTTATTCAGATTCAAGTTCAGATACAGATCGGATATGCTCCAGACACGGATGCTATTCTGTTGCTCATACATATTCAGTCTCCAGATACAGCTCAGATACGTTCCAGATACGGACACCATTCTGATACTTATTCTTCTGACTTACAACATACAATTCAACAAACATTCCTGGATGGCATCTACAAGCCCATATCCAACAAGATTCTATCACCTCTCTAAATGGCATCTTTAAGCCCATTCCCTCAATGACACTTTATCGAGTGCAAATTTATGGGCACTCTAGTGTCCAATCATCTTTTACCTTTGAGTCAAGAACGAAAAAGCTCGCCAATCTAACTCTTCAGTTTCAAGAAGATTGAACAGGGGCAGCTGTTGTACCCCAAAATTTTCCCTCTCATTTATCAAGACTTTTCTCACAAGATTTCTTTGACTCAAGACAAGATTAGGGTTTGGTCAGCTCAAGATATCTCATCTTGCACTGATAACCCAAAATTAGGGTTTGAGTTTGCACAAGGATTTTTGGATCACTAATGCTTCATTTGACCTTCATACATAATTTTGGACCCCTAAGATTGCTCATGTTAAGTCTCAAGCCTTGAACCACATTTTTGATCAGTCAATTGGACAGTTGACCTAAAAATCAACTGTATTGGGGAAAAAGTCAACCATGGCCAATTTACAGTCAAAATTCATAATTTTTGATCCACATCAACATTTTAGACTCATATGTACCATTTGATCAAGTTTGGATCACAACTCCTCAAGAAATTTGATTAAATCATCAGAAGGGCAAAATGGTCAAAATTAGGGTTTTGACTGAGAAAGGGCAATTTCTGATTTTTAACCTAGACAATGACCAATTGAGTTCAAGCATGATTTCAAGGGTTCAATGGCATCATCTTGACCTAATTACATGGTTCAAAAGATCTCAAGTTTATTGGATTGACAGATGAAATTTGCAGTCAACTGATCAAAAGTCAACTGTATACTGAAAAGTCAAACTTTGACTTTTTGGTCAAAATCAAGTGCCAAGGGTCATAATTCATCAAGATATGTCAAAATGTAAAACTTGTTGACCAAGAAAACTAAATTTGAAAATTAGGGTTTTAATTTGAAAATTTTCATAACTTAGAATTTTTCTAAGTATAAAATTTTTCTGATTTTTTCTCAATTTTGCACCACTTATTCACCATGATGCAATTTGATTCAAAGAAAACTCCTAACATGAAAGTTGTAGTCCTCCATGAAATATACAACTTTGATTCACAAACCTTTCCCTAAATATGCTTGGATCT